GTGAAGTGAAGTTTAGTGGTGCAAAATCCAAAATATAATGTTTAAGTAAGTGCAGAGCAGTGTGTTCAGAAGTGATTTAAGTCACATGGACTTGGCCGGCCGGCGTTCCTCAGGCAGGGTGTGTTTGTGTGGTCGCTGAGGTGCTGTAATCTGTGCGGTTGCAGAAAGTCCCTCTGCTCTGCATCCAGTCATGTGGAAGATGAGGACTGCCCCTGTGCATTGCATTAACTCAGCAGAGTGTGATTCAGTCTGTCAGTGTTGCCTCTTGTTTTGTTTACTACAGCGGACCATATCTCTTCCTGTGGTTAAATGGACAGATAGCCTCCAATTGGTGTCTGGGGCCTCGGCTAAGCTGTTTATTTGTGGATTGCTCAGCTTGCGCTGTGTTTTTTTTAAACTTTTTTTTTTCTTTGCTTCGTGTGTCTAGACTGTTATAGTGTAGTAGTTGACCAAATTAGTTTATATGCGAGTTTCACTTATAGTTGTTGTTACGTGGTGGTAGACCAAAGAGGTGAAAGGGAAAGGTCAGGCTAATGAGAACTCACTGGAGAGAGAGAAGATAAGTGTTCCTTGCAAAACATAGTGTTTTCACTGCCTGATCTATAATGTCTGAAAAGTTTCCACCAAACCAGAGCAGAGTTTATGAGCTAGAGATGGTCGCTGCTGCCACTTAGTGAGTGTAGCAGCTATGAGCTAATGAATCTAACAGAGTGGATGTCAGTGTCCTCTCTGAAATAAAACATTCCTTTAAAAGATTATTTGTTTAAGTGTCGTTGGCGTGTTTTCCCCACGGGGTGAGTCAGTATGTTAGAATCATATTTTGAGCTGCCAGTTTCGCTTTTGCAGCTGCGAGTTCGACACATTTGTTCTGTCGTCTGCCAAAAGAGTGCAAGTCATCGCCTGACTTTTTTAACTAATCTGAGATCATCCACAGAGGCATGCAGAAGGAGGGTGGGGGGGGATTTACTAGATTTTATATTAGAATACACAGGAAGTTGTTAGGAATTTCTTTGGAAGCAGAAGTGGCTAGTCAGTTTGAATACTTGGAAAGAAAACTGGAATCATTTCTGATAAATGCTTTATTTTTCATCGGTTTCTGGTAATAGCAGTAACAAACCTTCAAATATTTATTTGATTGTAGCTTCTCCAATGTGAGGACTTATAACTTTTGTCTCCTTCTTCTCATTGTACTTCAAATATCTGTTGGTCAAACTAGACCTGGATGATACCCCCACCAATAGACACGTTATCAATAGCAATAAGAAGGTTGTTGAATAAAATGCTTTACTTAAATGCATCACATGCAAACCGTTCTGAATGCTCAAAAAGAAAACTCAAATCTTGGTTACATGAACAAACCCAAAAGGTGTCCCCTCCCTGGCTCTGAATAATGATTGTCGTTAATATTCATTTAGTTTTCCAGCTGTAGCACCAGGTTAGCCATTGTAAATTAATTTTATTGGTCTTCTTACCTGTGTCAGTCATAATCTCTCTGCCTGTACCTGCGCTCTCATCATCAGATCTGTCTGAGTTGAGACTTCTCCATCTCCACCAGCCTTCTCCTGTTCTTTCAAATAATCAGCTACAGACCGTTTCATCGCTGGAGCATGGTAACTGCAAAATGGATTGTTTAATGTGTGAGCCAGGGAGAGACTGACGGAGCCTGTGAAGAAGAAAATGTACTATTTTCAACCCCAAATGATATGAAATGATAATGCCCTTGCACAAATGTGATGTTATTTCCAGTGCCAGTGTAGGCCCCTCTGGCTAAAGTATTGTCGCGCTGTTGAGTAGATCTAGGCAATATCAACCAAAATAAATGCCAGTATTAATTGTCACATTTACTTCAATAATCATTAGGTTATAATAATCTTAAAATCTGTGTACAAATTGCACAGTTCTTGATTGTTTACACTGAGCAGTAAATGGAAATTCCTTAAAGTTCATTGAACAATAAATAATGAGAACACTTCTATTGTTTTTTGTTGGAAAAAAAAGAAGAAATATCTTTTCAAGTCCTTCACTATTGTCAAATGTATGAAATGTGTATCTCTGAGTAAGAATTGTTATTTCTATTAACTGGCTTAGATTCTCCCGTTAAGCATCTGCTTCAGGATTTAATTGTCTCACCAGAATTTCGGTCTCGCTCATGCAGCGTCGGCAGAGCAGGCTCAACAGGAAAACCTCTGTTTATTCCGATTTGGGAGTGTTAACACAAATTTACAAGGTTGGTGGTTGCCGTTTTTAGCATTGTCGTCATGCAAATTTAGCAGGAGGCTGATAGGAATCTGAATCTGTTTTCCTGACTGAACAGTATGACGTGAATGTGGCAAGAACTTACTGCAAAAACAGCAACCACTTGGTATATGCACTAAAAATCCTGACTGGGGCTTTCATGGGTTTCAACAGCATTGTATAAAATAATGACGCCCCCTGCGCTGACGTTTTTTGTGTGCTTACTGTAGACGGGAATGTTTGTTTTACTTGAGCTAGAACACAATTGAACAGCCAGCAAGTATTTCAGAAAGGTGCTTAAGGAGGCGCTTTCCTTCACTTTCTCCTTTGTCTTGAACCGCTGCTCCTCCTTACAAAGTGTTTGATGTAGAGGGGAAAGCTACTCTGAGATCACTGGTCAGGGCCAATTTCTCCTTGGAGCTTGGCCCAGGCTGCTGTGGTGTTAGTGCCAGGGTTCGTTAGAGCCACAGACACAAATACTGAGTTGATGCCGAGCCAAGTTTTACAGCAGTTAATCTTGTGTTGCTGAATGACTGCCTGGGGTTGTGCCTATACATACTGTATGTGTGTTGTGGGATTTGCAGTATGTGTGTGTTCAAGAGCGACCAAAAGTTTGCAGTGTACCCTGCGTGTTTTTTGTTTTGGCTGTGCTTGGTATGAAGCCAGCCGTGTCAGTGGAGCCTCTCTGCCGTGAGTCATGAGTTAAAGGGCCACACCGTGTAGTAAAATACCTCACGACTCAGTCAGTCCTCTGAAGACTACTTATTATTTTTAGAGGCTGCTCAACCTGCTGCACTAGATGCAGTCGGGCAGCCTGTAAATCCCCTTCGGCTTTCTCTTTCATTCACTGTTTGTTGTTGCGTTTTGTATTTAAGCCAATCAGAAGATGGCACTGTGGCATACGTGCATGCAGTATGTACATACCTGTTGGCACCATCTCTTTGTGTAGGCTATGTCTTTCCATGTGGGCGTGTTATTGTCGTTACATGTTCAAGTCCTGGGCTGTCTGATGAAATGTTAGGAAACAAAAATGCAGAATACTCACGATATACATGAATGATTAATATTGTTTTGAATTGACAAGACAGTGATTAATCAGTATTATTGTCCCTAACTTTGAGGACATTTTTGTTTGTCATTGCTTTTACATATTTTGACTTTTTTAATGCCGTATACCGCAAGGCACCAGCCTCCACTCTAATCTTTATCTACAATAATTATTTTGTTATCGTATTTACAATATCACGTGTTCGATAATCATTAATATGCTTTGCTGCTGGTGTAGCTTTGGTCAGACTTATGGTGCCGTGGTGCATGTTGTCTATTAAATGCTTTAATTAGCCTCAGATAACTGAAGTGCTCAATATACCACACCAGAGTAAAAATAATAATAATAAAGGAATAAGCTGACATTTTGGTGGTCTGTTTGCTTTCTGTCGACAGAAAATTCGACAAAATTTTTTGGGTGATTGCCGTTTTATATTTTTTGCCAGTGTTTGCAGGATAGTGTGTAACTTGTTTCTTTGTTTTTGCACTGTGAGCAGGGACTTTTCCCATTAAGTCAGACATACATTCATCCTTAAGTTCCCCATGAGTCAATATGTTTTTCTGTAATAGCACTATAGGATACGTGTGTACAGTTCGTGGTCAGTGTGGTGTTTCTGTGGCCTGTGAGGCACATTACTGTGTAAGTTGTCAGTTTCAAAAACTAAATGGAGTGAGTCAGGTATTTCTTCCTCCCACATGCCTTTGCTTGATTTGTGCAGCTGTAACATTCCTTGTTTATATTGTTTAGATATTATAGATACACATATAAAATCGTATGGCCACGCATTGAAAGCTATGATTTAAAAACCAGGCCACTTTGATTATAAGTGATGGATGGAAGTGGGGCCAGACATTAAGCAGAATTTAAAGACCTGCTTTGTAAATTTCCCGAGTAAAAACTTGACTAGTAATTCTCTTTCTCTTTCTGTCTAGTAAATCATGTGTTTTACAGACAAGGGAAACAGAAGAGAGGTGTATAAGCACAAGACAAACTTGTCATCACAAAATGTAGTTTCGACTGTAATGACTATTGAGCAGTTTATTCCAAAGAAACTGCAACTACAGCAGCAAGAATTACAAAAGTAGCCATTGAAAAGGCTTTTTGCTTCCTTTTTTTTTAAACAGTGTTGTTTATGTGGAAATAATAATCATAGTTTTGACTTTTCATCTCATAATTGTGACTTTTTATCCCATCATTTTGCTTCCATTTCAGACTTTAGACTCTCTTGTTTCATTATTGTGACATTTAGTCCCATTGTTTTGACATAAACTCAATAGTCTTGACTTGTTTGTCTCATTATTTTGAAATTTTGTCATATCCTTTTGACTTTAATGTCATAGTTTTGCGTTTGTGTCCCATAGTTTTGACTTCTTCAGAACATTACCGTTGATGGTGACTAACGAGTATTTTATCTTGGTAGCAGGGATGTTTTTCCAGAGACTTTTTTGCCAGGGCATGATAGTAATAAAATACAGTGTTACTTAGATTTAGTTATTTTTTTTGTTAATTTGTTTCTTACTGCTTTCCCTTATCTCTTCTTTTCCATCCCTGAACTTCCTCATCTTATCTCATCTACCCCCTTTCCCTTCCTCTCGCTGCTGCTCCTTTCTTTTTACTCTTCCTTGTTGTTTCTTGTTCTTGTATTGGCTTCCTCTCTTTCTCGTACCATTTGTCCCCCTTTTCCTCTGTATTTCCTTCTTCACCCTGTCTGGAGTAGAGGTCGTGGTGGAGTACGAGTACGACGCGCTCCATGAGGACGAGCTGACCCTGCGACTGGGAGACGTCATCAAGAACGTGCGGTACATCGAGGAGGATGGCTGGATGGAGGGAGACCTCAACGGGAAAAGGGGCCTCTTCCCCGACAACTTTGTTAAGGTGAGGGAGCTCCTTTATCCACGCCACTTACCGGATTGTATCAACTTGTTAGCTTGATTTCCTGTGCGGACCTGACCGTGCATTTCTTCTGAGGTTTTAAATGCTCTTGTCTGTTGTTGCGCCATTAGAGTTAATCCTATTGAAGCTGTGAGCATTATCAGACCATAGTAGTCTGCTGTTGAGAGTGTTGGTCGCACGCTACATGAAATGTGGTCCACTCACTGGTTTCACTGAGGATGCACTATCATTGGCATTCTCTAAAATGTTTAAATGCTTTTGCAGAAAAGAAAAAGCAGTTGTAATGAACGACAGAATGCAGATGACTCCGTTTTTATAAGATTTATCTGATTTTCTTCTGCTGCTTCTGTAGAAGACAAAGTGTGTGAATACAGAAACACTGTTTCAAAGTTTTGTTTGTTGTCAGTCAAAACAAATCTCTTGTTGATGTTCAGTAAACAATTGTACAGATATACTGTATAGAGGCTGTTGTTAGTTTGCTGGATTTGATGGAGGGCAAGAGTTGGTTGATGGTAAAAGTAAAGCGTCAGATGGTGAAGACCAGCCTTTACTGAGATCATACTTTATCCCCCAACCAAGGACTGTTTGTAAGTGTCTCTAAAGCTTTTCTGTGTGTATGTCCTTGGTCCACACAGGACTGATAACACAGCTCTCAAAGCACACGATATTGTAGTTTTATACTGTCAAACACAAGGAATCCTCTTTGTCACTGCAGTGCAGACTTCAGTCAGTTATCAGGTAACTTTTGGTTGGTTTGTTAAGGAAAATCAGACTTGGATAAATGCAGGCTACTTGATTGCCTTATATTTATCATGGCTTAGAAAGTGCTTTTGAGTGTGAAGAAATTGTCATCAGCTACAAGGAGAGGGGCTGGGCAACATATTGAAATAATTTAATTAATCTTAATTTTTGGATGTGTAAGATGTCCTCGTCATAAAAACCAAGTTACAAAACAACACATACAAAAAAGGCTCGGTTCAGTTCAAAAGCACAACAGATTCCAACCTTAACTTTTGAGATTTATTTTAACAAGGGTTACTAATCTTGCCTTCATCCTCTGAGGGATATTTTTAAAATCTGATCACTGCTGAGCTTCGGAGACAGCAATTCCATTACACATGCTTTAATTTCAACGTGGTTTGATCACTGTAATAGTCTCCAGGTGTTTGGTTGAATAGCTGCCCCGGCCCATGAGGTTGCTGTTGAAGTGCTTCTTGATGTCATTCAGCTGCCTCTGCAGTGAGTCTCTTGTCCCGCAGGTACACTCCAAGGTACCAGGTGCTGCAGCTGGTGATGGTTGTCCTTGTTCTGCTGTGAGCCGAAGCACCACTCCAACCAGAACCTGCAGCAGGTGGAGAACTGGTTCATGTGTCGCTACATCAAATTCACCGAGGCTGCAGAGCAGAACAAGGACGCCACAAAGTTTGCAAACTTTGCATGTGATGCAATAATTGACCACCATCACCAGCTGCAGTCCAATATGCTGGAGATGGAGTCTTTTTTTGGAATGAGACTTACTAGGGATGTATGATGCATTTGTTGCACATTTTTAAACAGACAACTGCATAGTGATGCACAATTAAAGGCTGTGAATAATTCAGTTTGCTCCAGTTCCCCTTTTTGGTCTGTATGAAGTGGCTCATTCTGCTGCATTTTGCTTGAAGATGTGCAGAGAGCGGTGTTTTTAGTGCTTTTTTTCCCCATTGGACAAAGAACAGGTGCCAGTAGACGGAGTGCTCTGCCAGGAGGTAGTGAACCAACATCCTGATATTAGCATCAAAGCGACCACAACCACCTCTGGTCAGAACTTTCAAAGTAATATTAGAATGAAAACAGGCTGCAGAGATTTGAGAGTTGGACCTTTTGGTCTTGAGCTGTGGTGACATGTTCTATAATTATATGATCAGATAAGTTCAAGTAAATCCGTTGGGTGAATTGTGATTCAGATCCTGATTCTGCAGGACAATATTGTGATATGATTTTTTGACCCAATCACCCAACCCAAAGCAGCCAGACTGTTACAGAAACCAAGAAAAGAGATCATGTTCCTTTCTATGGGTTTTTGTATTGGCTAGCAGTTCATTAGTGGATAGAACAGAAGTATTTTAAAGCTCTTGTTGTCCTCAACAACCTGCACACAGTCTTAGGTTTTTATTGTTTTGTATTACTTTTCATGCTGCTGCTGCTGCTTCTCTTATTTTAAGACCTGTTTTCAAACTGTATTCTCTTTGGAGTCATGTGTCTGTGTTTGTATGCAGGTTGGTTGGAAATACAAAGGTACTTTGTATGTCTTAGTTTTTCGGTGTATTTTTCATTTTGTTTCTGAAAAGCACTTTTTAATCAGTGGTTTGATATTTGCTCTATAAGGTGACAGAAACAAGACTGAATACTTCAGAGAAGTTGTCATCTGCAGCTACAAGCCACTGGAGCTGACGGAACAGAGTGCAGGTTCCACTTTGTTCAGTCTGTCACTAGATGCCCAAAAGCTAACACTGGCTAACAGCTGCCTGCAAGTATTAAGCTGATGTGAAAAATGCAAAGAGGCACCAGCAGATGGATTAGTGTGCAGACTTTTTACTCTCTCTGTTCTTAAACTGATTATTAAATTAGATATCTGCAATACTTTATTGACGCATGACAGTTGACAGCTGTATGGGATGATTTCCCGCATCGCCCTAACTCAGATAGGAAACTGTGGTTAACAGTATTCTTTGAACATGTTTTCATGGTGTTACAACAAAGAAGCGTGTGAAATGGCTTTTGGCAGAATGAGTCTTAAGGTGTAAACTCAACATTGCGACAGTTCCTGCAAAGGTCTAGGCTTTTATGACTTAAAGCTTATGTTGATCACACAAATTTAGAGTTCATTACTCAGTCTGGATGTGCTTAGTGTCCATTAGAGGATCTACTCTTACTGCATTTCCATTTAAATTAATTCAGACTGCAAATCTTGGTCTGACTGGCCTTTGTGGTGACATTAAAATTAGGCACTAAAATGTTTCCAGTCAAACAATGTACAATAAACTGGGAGGTGATATTATATATAATATAAACATAGTTTTCAAGCTATAGCTTTGGATTAATACATAGAAAGGATCTCTGGGTTTTGTAGAACTGGATCATAGTCACCTTCTGTTGCTATAACTTAGTAGTGCACTTGAGGCACCTGAGTGCTGAAGTGTGAAATCTGCTTTTTCTGTGCGAGATATTTGCACAGCTAATGTGCTGTGAAATGAGTCTCTTCTCTTGTCACTTCTCCCTCATCTCTCTCCTGTTTTTCCCTGCCTATAATCCTACGTAGTGAGATAGGTAATCTGCTAAGCAGCCTGGCCCAGTGACTGAGCTTGGATAGTTAATCCTCTAAGGAGCCTGCCGGCTGTTGAACTTTGCTCCCGACAAAATAACAGTCGTCTGACATGCTGTATTTCTTCTTCCTGCTCCCTTTAATTGGTGCTGTAGCTGAGCGACTGGGGGACATGAACCATGTCTGACGAGGAGACGGTAAGAAATTTACCTAAAGGCAGGACTGGCATGTTGATAGGAGCGTCTAGGTGTATTTGTGGGATTATATGAATTATATGAATATGTATTAGGACAGGGCCTGAGAGAATCTTACGTCTGTGTTCTTTAACTGGCATGTGATCTCATTGGGTGTGTCCGTGGACAATCACCCGCTTTGCTTTTTTGTGTTGGTATAAGTGTTTCTGGGTCTGTAGGATTTGTTAGGACAAAGTGGATGAACACAGTTAGTGATTTTGGTTTCGACATGTCTGATTTTTTTTTATTCATAGTTGTTTTATTGGGGTATAGTGGTAGACAAAGTTCATGGTGCAGCATGGGCTCAGGCTTTGATACATCTGGGTAAAGCAGAGAGCAAAAGAAGTGCGTAAATGACCATTTTTGTCATTTGTTTTGGTAAAAATAGTCTCATTGACTGGAATTCTTCCTGCACTCAATATTTTCAACTTTTTGTCTTTTTGTTAACATTGAAGATGCAGCCATCTTGTTTGAATAAATTTTTATTAGAATTGGCACTGAGCAGCAGCAATAAAGAAACCTCGTGTTGACAATAAGAGCTCCACTGGATTGGATCGATGGATTGATCACACTGAATAGTGTGAGTAGACACGTGGCAGGTTCTGGCTGTGTGCCAGTTTTGCTGTCGCTTGTACATTTTGGAACATGTGGAATGTTACGCTCCTTATTCATACTGTGTAGTTTGCACAGTTGTATATATACAATAATCTTAGACATGGTTTAAAATTCTCTAACTGTTGCAAATAAACAGAGGCTGATTTCAAGTCATGTTTTTCCAGTACCTTGCTTGAAAGAATTGAAACACCCTAAAACTTGTGTAATCAGGAAACATGTGATTAAAGTGTAATAAACCAGAGACTAAGTGTGATTTTAACAAAAGACAAATATCTATATGTTCTCTGAATGAATAGAGGAAAGTATCAGTGTTTCAGGGAATACAAATGTATGAAGCTTATGTAATGGTGGCCCTTGTTCTAGATTATCTTTAACATATCGTTGACTTTTCAGCATTAGTGTTTGTTATTATTCATTACCTGACATGTACAGACCAATGTATCAAGCTGACACTGGCAGGTCTATCTGCAGGCATGACAGCCCCGCCAATTCATCTGTCTATCCCTGCCAAATAAGTGTTGAAATTCCTTTCTAATAACGCTGCTCTCTCTCCGCTCCTTTATTTACATCCCCTGCTGGTGATAGAAGTGGATTTTCATTAGCTTAAAGTTATTCTAGGGACCGCTGCCTGATCATATCTGCAGACCTGAGTGTGAATTGCGAGAACAGCAAGCAGGTAAACGTGTTGATGTCAGCGAAGAACATGATCACTCACTTCCAATACTTATTACTTTTGATGAACACCAACGGGCAGCAGTGTTTAGAAACTGCAGCTCAGAAAAGATAACCACATCACTTGTGATTATGCGCTCATTTGGGTGTGCACTAAATGAAACTCGCGCTTTACAGCAGCAGCCTCTGCTAGGAAGCGTCTAGGGTATATAGAGGCGCTGGCACTTCTCATAGGTATGTACAGTTTTACAATCAATCAATGATTTTGTAGATTATGTACTACTAATAAGCATCAAGTGTTGAGCCAAGCTATAGCAATACAAGTAGTTTATATTTTAAAACGCCAAGACAAAGTTACTGTTTACACATCTACTTTAGTAGGAGATTGGCGAGTAAATCAAACAGTTTCACAAAGACTCCTGCGTACTGTCTACCTGTCAAAAATACATATATTTGCAACATTTTGATGCTAGACATTCATCAGGCAAATAGTTTGTGACAAAGAGAAGCCATGTCAAATAGGGAGTGGATGTAAGTGTAACCAATCACATTCGACACGTGCTTCAGTAAGTTATGAATCCTAGACATCATATTACTGTATGACGGTTACCAATAAAGAAACAGTTAGAAAAATAAAGCAGTCTTTATAATAACTGTCATACATGTAACATAAGGTACATGAAATGGGTAAATTAGTAGGAAGTGACTGCTGGGAGAGCCCCTTTCAGTGGGTGTGATGCAGCTGACTGGTACTCTACCAGACTCAGAACTTTGTCAGCTTCTTAATAATATTATTAAATAAATGCAACAAATGCATTTAAACAGGAATAAATGAATATATAATTGAAGTTAGTTCACCAATGTGGTTAAAATCATCCAAATTGTACCAAAACCTGTGTTTATCAAAACAAGTTTTTGGATTCCAGGATCAAAACATCCTGAAGGTGTTATTTGCATATTACAATCACTTCAGTTTTCTTCCCTAGAATACCCAGGGAGCCCCCGCCTACTTTTTTTAGTTTTGCATCTTGACACCTTTTTCGCTACTCCAAAGTTTGCAGGTCTAGAACCCTATTGTATGTTATGCACACACTCAGTAAAGACTCACAACTCATTGTTTCACCTCTACACCAAAGGATGTAGTGTTTCTTAAAAGCAGATTGTGTCGGGCAAGTTGACTGCTTCATTTTCATAGTAGATATCGCAGGAGACGGAAGAGCACATAAACACAAACTAGAGAAAGGCCTGGTGTTAGCAGAGTTTGCTGCAAGCAGAGGTGGTGCCCATATTTTATGCACTCACTCTATGTATGGTCTAATTAACACCTTTGACGTGACAAAAGAAGTGTGGAATGGTGGTGTGTGTAGATGTGGGGATGTGTGGTCACACTTTTTAAACCATCAGCAGAAGACGCCTTCTCACCCTGTACAAGTGTGAGTGAACTACACACAGCTACCTGATAGAGCTCTTTGTTCCTGTTTTCTGTTTAAATCCATGTCCTCGGCAGCTTTTTGAAGCAGAGCTGTGGGTCTTGTCTTTAGTCTTTCCCCTCTGATCTCTGTCTCACTGCCTGGTACACAAATGCGCGTGTGCACACACATACCTACACACACACACACACACACCCACCGCACACACAGCTGGACTTCCTCTCCAGTGGAATTGCGAAGTCAGCGTGCTTGAACCAGGAAGTGGATGGTGAACTGAATCATTGTCACACACCAATAAACGGATAACACACACATCGAATCACTACAGCTGTAAACTCCCAGTGTGTCACCTTTTTTTTAAGGTTGGATCACCTCTACCAACCAGACTGATCTGTCTTTTTGGTGTATTTGAGTAATAACTCTGGTCATTTATGTAGACTGAAAGCTTGTTTTGACATTAAAGTCAACTGTAACCTCGCTGACCTTTTGACTGAGCTTCAGGGAGGTGACTCGTGTGTGGCCCAAAGGTTTTGGAGTTGGTTAGTTATGTAGATTGGGGCCTAGATTTTAATTCAGTTTCATGTTTTCTTCTAGTATTCCCTGCAGACGCAAAAAAAATAGGTGTTCTGTGCTATCTAGTGTAACTTATAATTAACAGTTAAGATCAAAGAAGTTGCATGCAAGCCTTTTTTTTTTTTTTTTTAGAATTGGTACAAGTACAGGATGTTACAGCAGTGTGAAGTAAGAATAACATTGAGGAACTCCTTATCTCTGCAAAAATATGTCACTTTTGTCAGCTGCAGACAGCGTTAATGCACCACTCTCTTGACCTGGTTCTTAACCGCGTGATCTGCAAAAGGCGGCGAGATGTCAGACTGCACAGACGTATGAAATGTAAACATCAAGACTGGGTAGAAGGTAAAAAAAAAAAAAAAAGCATGATTTTTTTGAATTGCAGTCTTTTTTGAGGCATCAACTACATGCTTACAGATGATGTAAGTCAGTGTGTCTTGGTTTTTTGCAAAAGCCATATTTTGGGCTCTGATGCTGCTAGGAATAACACTGATAATTGTTAATTGATTAAGTGCCGTTAATTGTTTCAGTGGAGAATATAATAATTGATGCGGCAGAATATGGTGAGCATGCATGTCATAAAACATATTGTAGAGTTGTTGTAGCACCTGGTTGCACCACCAGGTGGAGCCTGGTTTCGTGAAATGAGTGTGTTTGTTGCCCCCGCAGGAGTCGTGTAAAGCGAGCGCACCTGCTGTCTTGCTAATGTTGACAGTCATGTTATGGAACTTTGTCAGTATAAAGTTGTGAAAAATCTGTCCAGTGGCTGTTAAGTTTAGCTAGCTACCTGACCTGCAGTTCATGCTAATGCTAAACTAGGATTTACACAAATTAGCACGGGCACAAAGCCAAGGATCTTTTAGCAATGCTTACTTGCTTCCAACAACAAATGAGGAAGTGAATCGACAACGCCCTCCTCTAAACATAAAATACATTTTACAGGTGGCAGTAGACACTGACAGAGTTCCCGGACTGATAAAGTGGCTGCAACAGCATTTGTGGACTTCTGTTCCAGCAACCGGACTAACTACAGTGAACAAGTGGCTCCATCATGTTGATCAGCTGTGAGGACAGTTTTTATACCAAATTGCTATGGAGAAATTAAAAATATTGCAGGTTATATACCGAAAACTGCAGTTTGTTTGCTATGTTTAGATCTTGTCAGGCCAGTTGTTGAATAGCAATTTTGATTGTTTTTGCTATTTAATTTATGATTCAAATATCCTGGTATTTACTTTAATTTATCCTTAAAGGTTCTGATGTAACCAAGCAATTCTGTGGTAAACAAGTTTTAGTGATAAAAGAAAAAGTTTTTTTAGCCTATGAAATAACATCCACTCTGTTATTATTTGTAGCATTTATTCAGTTATTGATGGTTAACGTGGGCTATGAGTAGAAAGGACACAGACTAAAAAGCCTCCTTTTTTGCCTTTTTTAGAGAGTGAATCCTGAAGTTGCTCCAGCTCTGTCGCCATTGTGTGTGTGAATGTGTGTGTGAATCTGTGAATGAGAAATGCCTTGTAAAGCGCTTTAAGTGCCTCTCAGGTAGTAAAGCACTCCACAAGTGCAGACCATTTAGCATTTACCATTTTTTGCATTCATGAATAAGAATAAGTTCTTCACCAGTGGGGAAAAAGATGACACTTTTCTATTTGCTGTAATTTTTCTGAACCAAACAATCTGCAGAAATGATAAATAAAAATAAACCACTGAAAACAATTGCTTTTTACTGGCTCCAGTTGATATCTAGTGAAAGTGTAATGTGGACTTTGTGCTATTGTCAGACAGGGAGTTTCTCTGAGCTGGGAGAATGTAGCATCTGTTTTACAGCCTGACTGTGTGACGTGATTGGGATAATTAGCGATAGCTACGTTTAGCATGAGTGGGCTGCAAGTAGCACAATGCTGCATTGAACACAGACACAGGTTGCCTTATCTGTGGTTTATTTTGTGTATTTTAAGCTCACCAGAATGCTGGTTGACACACACATTTCTCAATGCTTTATGCTGAAACTGATGCACCTCTTTTTCCTCATCCCCTTGCTATCCAAACAATGTCTTGATAATCTCTTTTTTAAAGCATTGTTGTTACCTCAGTTGCCAACCTTCTGCTGGTTTTGAACAGAAACAGTAATAAAATCACAGCCAGTGAAATAAGCAGTGTGCTTAAATTTCCATTTGTCTGCAAGAAAGTGGTCGACAAAATAAATGTGGCATCTGTGAAATAAAACTAACTTAAAATCCACTGACTTTATTTACATTTTCAAAATGATTTTAAAAAGTATTTTATTTCTATGTAAAACGCAAATAATGTCTATTGTTGGGGAGAATATGTTTTTTATGATAAATAATGCAATGGGAATTGTGATTAAAATAAACAAATGCAGAATGTTTTGAGTTTGTTGATGTTCTCATGCTTCCCACTTATATGTTTTGTGTGTGCTTTTTTTAGGAAGTGAAAAAGGAATCCAAAGAGGTCAAGGAAACAAAAAATGAGCCAAAAGAAGAGACCTCTCAGCCTCAGAAGAGGGAGAAGAGTGCAGGAAACGTGGCCCACCTGGTTCAGAGGATGAGCACTATCGGCATCCCCACTGGTGGCTTCCAGCCTCAGCCGCCAGCAGCTTCAAAGAGTAAGACGCTGCAGTTTTGTGTGTGTGTGTGCGTGCTCGGATGCAGAAATACTTCTCAAAAGATCTTCTTTGCTTGGTGTCCAGGATGAGTGTAGCTGATATTTTTTGCAAATCCTTCCAATGTTGTCTCAATGGGGACAAAGTTAGTGCCGACTTTTATCTTGATTTCTTCCTTGTAGCGAGCACACATCTTATAAATTGTGCTCAGACTGTTGCAGCATCTTGTGCTGTACTAGTTGTGGTTTTTTTTTTTTTAAAAAGACTGGTTTTTTTATGCCATCAAGTATAAGCTTTTTTTTGTTGTTTTCCGTCTTGCTGATTTTTCAGCGCTTTGACTGTTCAGCAGGGTGTGTCTGTTTTCTGCCGCAGAAACACCTTGCAGAGGAATCCCAGAGTTCCTTGTGGGGTGGAGCTTTTGAACGCCCTCCTACTTGCTGGATTTAGACCTCATTTGCTTTCTCACCTGTGTCAGTTCTCATAGTGCCACCTTTAACATTCTAAAGGAAGCAGAGACAGACACATACACGAACTCTTCACGTTCGATTAAAACAAAAACACAGACGGACGCTCACAAACGCACAGGTGAGCAGCAGGTCAGTCGACTAACTGGATTGTTTCTCCACAGAACCTAAGAGGAGACAATGTAAGGTGCTGTTTGACTATCAGCCGCAGAATGAAGATGAGCTGGAGCTGAAAGTCGGAGAGGTCATAGACATCATCGAAGAGGTACTTTTAACTTTTGACTTAATGCTCCTAAATGTGTCAGAAAGCTTCCCAGATCACATAACGTGCACCTTTAAATCTGTTTCCTTGTGGGATACTGAAGGCTGAGAAAAGCACATAGGAATGTCATTCCTGGTGGTCTTTGCTTAGTTTGGTCTTTTTCACATCCGACCTTCTACTGTTTAAGCTAAACAACACACAGTTGTACGGGTGTAATGTTACATGTGTGTTATAGTTCTAAGCACCGACGATACACTGAGGGTTAGTTGGTTATTTGTGATGCAGGCAAGTCAGAACAAGTGAGAGATTTGAGCAGTACAAAGGACCTTGAATGTCTGCTCTTCACATTATTGGAAATGTATGTGTTTCAGACATAGCTGAAGACACTCCAGATGTTTTGCAAAATACTGTAAATAATATGTGGTACAAATATATAAACCTCTTGGTTGCACTTCATGGTTTTACAGTTTGTACTTCCTATTTTGCTGGAAAGAATACTGAACGATTATCTGTAAATATGTGGTTTGTTGAGAAGCCTGCTTTTTATTTTCTGTTTTGATATGGTTTAGAGATAGAAATCTCACATATGGTGGCCTGAACGCATCATCCGTAGCGCCTCTGTGTTTAAGTTTAGCACAAGAGACCGCAGTGGAATTATATTTTTTTCTAAATTAATCATTAGATCTTATAGACACAAACATAATTTTCACAGTGGACAGATTTCTTATTTTGCTCTTGTTGCAGGTTGAAGAGGGCTGGTGGAACGGCCTCTTTAACGGCAAATCAGGCCTTTTCCCCTCCAACTTCGTCAAAGAGCTGGACGCTGCGGGAGAGGACGGAGAGTCCAACGACACCACAGCAGACGAGACTGGTAAAGGCATAACACCACCACACATCTGTCACCGCCACCAAAGCGAAGCGTTGCTTGTAGCTGCAGATGCAACAGGCCTGCCTGTAATGTTTACTGATGTTGATCTATTTTAACATGCGGTTTCACTCCACTATAACTTCTGTGATTGTCATGCCAGGGTAAAACAAAAGGACCAACAAAAGCACAAACAACATTTTTTACAGAATTTACCCTTGGGGGTCAATAAAGTATTTCTATTCTATTCTGAAACATTTCTGCTTGTTTCACATATTTTTGACTCGGCGTCTAAGTGGCAGCAGTCACAACATGTAGACACACATCTTCAAAGCTCTGTGCAGCAGCAAGCATAAACGATGCCATAGTGTGCTTTGGCCTTTAGGGACTTATCAGAACAAAGCTCAAGACAGATGCATTCACTCAGGAAATAAATAGTTCTTTATTTTCTGTCAATTACATGAAAGTGCATTTAATGTTTAAGAACACTGTGCAAAAACAACACTGCAAAACTCAGTAGTTTTCATGAATTTTGGCTTTGTTTAGCGTGTCACAACAAGCGCTAACACTTGATTCTGACACACATTTCGAACATTCCTGTTTGGTTGCCTTTGTTGTTTTTGCTCTGTAGCCAATACTTCAGTGTCAGTCGAATGAAGTGCAGTCATGGAGCAGGTGTAGCTGCAGCCTCGCTGAAACAAGCCTCAACAAGAAGGCAGTCAATTAAGAGGTGGGAGTCTCTCTGCCTCCTGTCTGCTTTTTATATGACTGGGAGGTACAGCGGCTCTTAAAACACCACATTTAACATCCAAAGCTGTGTGTCAGATAGTAAATGACTGTATAATGTGAGCAAATGTCATTTCAAGGTAAATAAATTCCTCATTGCTCTGCAGCTACCTGGAGATAATTGGAAGAACTGGTGCTGACTCTTCATGAATGAAACTTTTCTTTGTTTAATAAGAGATAATCCTGGTTTGCACACAAACACATTTGCAGTAGTTTCTCGTGGCTGAAAATGAACTGAAATGTAGATTTTTCGGGACACGTTCTGTTTGAAGTAGAGCAGTATTTGCTGTAGCGCAGAGAGGTGTAATACTCGCGAATTGCTTCACCCTCTGTCTCGCTCTGTTGCATCTCCTCACCAGATGGAAGTGGAATGGAAAGCACGGCCACCCCCACATCGCCTCAGTCTGCCTCAGGGAACGGTGTTATCACTCAGCCCAAGAAGATCCGAGGTGTCGGCTACGGAGATATTTTCAAAGAAGGCTCGGTCAAACTAAAGGTCCGACTGCCCAGCGCCGAAACAGAGGAGAAGAAGGAGCGAGTAAGTGTGATGCTAACAACAAAGAACACGTGTTCTATAAATGTGTTGCACATAATGCTCCAAAATGTCAGCAGGTAGTGAAACATGCAGAGAAGGCGAGCTCTGTGGTTCGTGCATGTACAAAACACTGCAAACCTTGTTAACTGTTTGCATTGGATTCTATTTGGAGGTTGGGATCCAGAAATTAGTCATTTCTTTACTTTTCCAAAAAGTGTCGTTTCTGAAACATGTTTAAATAGCATTTATACCTGATATAAGGGTTTTTATTGCCTCAGTTTTGATAACTGTCTTGTCATCTAGCTGAAGCTGACGGCATCGATTAATTTGCCATTTAAGTCGGATACGTCCCTATACATTTTTCAAGCGCAAGTATCACCACGGAAGGCTGTGTGTTTTGGCTTCTGCAATATTATTTTAGGTGCAAAACATGGGAGGAGGTGATGGAAATTCACGCAATAACTACTGCACCTGATTTATTGCCTCAGACTGAATACTGCAGAAGAAGAAACTGTCTGAAGTGTAATGTCTGAGAACAGCTGGTGTAAAATCTGCATCACTGCTTTAACACACACACACATGTATAAACACACAAAGAACAAGACTACAGCAGGGTAAACCACTGAGTCAGACAGACGGAAAGAGATAAGGGCAGGCAACACTGTTTCTTGAAACTTTCACACCAGTGAAACCCGTTTGAATTTGAAACGAAACATACAGCTGCAACAGTTTGTGGATTATTACACTGAGAGACAATTCTTTACAAAATCAAGTGTCTTTGCATAATTAGGTACATTGTTAGTCATTTTCCGGCCCAGAAATATGACCTTTTGATGCCTCCTTTGAGAAATATGATCATAAATGGAATATTTAGGGGGTTTTGGACTACTGGTAGAAAAGATTAGTCTGAAGATGTCATCTAAGGCCATGGAAAGTTGAAACAGGGTTTTTTTTAATTTATTTTTTTTCTATTATCTGACATTTTATTGATCGTGCAATTAATAGAAAGTAGTTGATGATTAAAATAATCATTAGCTGCATCTCCAGTGGCGTGGCAAGTTGATATAAGTAATGGAATAGAGAAAATTAAAACATGCTTCATTTATTGAATTAACAGGTGTGCTGTCTGTTCAATGTCACAGCACAAACAGCGATGCACCTGCTTTAGTTTCACTTACATTTTTAAGTTAAGTCTTTATGATGCAGCCTTTCATTTCTATTCTTTATATTTGTATGTTTATTCGATAAGTTCTCCCGTTCATACTGATATTGATTTACCGAATATGATACGAGAAGTCAGTTTACCTTTTGTTGTTTACTGTCGACACAGAAGGAATCTGCCCCGATACATGTGAAGTTTCTGTTTGTTGTGAACACACTTGTTTTTGCTGTCATCAGCACATGTAGGAAACCCTTAATTCAAGCAAGAAATGCCCTCTTCACCTGATAAGCAGTTTTAAATCCCAGCTTGCCTCTGTTAAGTATCATTTTGAAAGGCGTGAAAACGGCAAATGTAAAGTTTAAAGTGTAAAACATGAAGAATCTTAAAATTGACACCAAACACAGGATACACAGGGTGATTGATAAAACTGATATAAAGCATTTAATAACATGGCTTCACTGCTTAACTAGTGTAGCGTTTAACTTCGTACTGAAACTCTCCCCTCTTTTCCTTCTCTTTCTTCTTCACAACAGCTTTCACACTCTCTTTCACCACTAACTCGGCTTCCTTCGTGCTCCTTTGCTCCTCACGTTACCACCACATGTAGCATGCTCTCACACGCTCCTCTTCACAGCTACAGAGATCCTCATTTGGCCTTGACCAGCCCACATAATCCACTCACTGCTCTCCTCCTCTGACTTTTCGGGGCCTTTTTTTTTATTATTTTCTGATTATCTGAAAAGTTTGGTTATACCTGTCTGGTACCTGCAACAGGGCAGAAAAGGTACAAGCCTCCTGTGTAAGTAATTCTTTCTTCCTTCCATGTCCTGCAATCCGTAACTGCTAACCTCATAATTAACAGCATCCAATGTCCATAACAAAACATGGCCAGATTACGTCACTCTTTTCAGTTCAGACTGTCTTCCAGACGAGACTCCTCCACACAAAGCTACATATTCACTCATGACCAATAAATCATTCCCATCTGTATGGTTTGCTTCATTTTAGCCAATCCCATCATTACCATCTGCTGCAAAGTCTGCACATCCCAATATGACAGACTCGCAGAGAGTGGACGGAGACAGCAAAGTCAAAGGTAAAACACTTTAAATGTGTTTTCAAGTTTTATGATGCATTTTATATTACCAATTTGTGTGTCTAGGGAAGAGTGACACCAATCTTTTTTTTGTTTAGTTTGTACTGTATAAAGTACTTACTTTGCTCGCATTATTTGCATTGGAGCACCACTGTGTAGTTTGAATATGAAAACAAATAGTGAAAACCTTGTGCCAAAACCACAGACTTTGAAAAAGCGAGCCATTAAGGTTATCTGCATTTATGTATAGCTTAAATATGGCCAAATCTTCATTACAAAGTTACAGTTATGAACCCAGTGTGTTTTATATACAGTCAAATCATTGTATTGTTCTTATCTGTATTGAATACATCATTAAAACACTGAATGGAGGCTGGAAAGGGTATGTGAACCTCTAGGCTATACTTAACATCAACTAAAGCTAGCTAGGGTTGGGATCTAGCAAACCTGGGGTCCCATCAGTTAAAATGGATTGCAGGTGTGGGTTACTTGAACTTGTAAAAGACAATCATTTAGAAACATTCTGAATCTGCTTTTCACACGAGTTTGCACAAATGAAATTTCCAAGACTTGCAATCTCAAGCACGTCTGATTTGCATGAATCTGCAAACAAATCTTCAAGTGTTTAGATATTTATCAAGCCCAGATTTTAACAGGTTTAACAGCTACAGGCAGTAAAGGTAATCACTTGCAAGAAATCATGGAGAAAACGGCTGCCCTCAAAATGTAAAAACATCACAGGGAAACTGGTGAAGCACGGCGGCGGCAGCATCATGATTCGTGGCTGCTTTGCTATTTAAACAGTTACGTCAGAACACGAACCCTAAGACAACAGAAATGTTGTGCAGTGACCTTGATAGCCATTCATGCCAGATAATAAAAGAATCTGTCTGAGTTGAAGTAGATATATAAAGAACAAAGAACCAGAATTCCTCCTGTGGGTTATGCAGGTATGATCTGCAGCTACAGGAAATGCTTGTTTGACGCTGACAAAAGAGGTTCGACCAGTTATTAAATCCAAGGATTCCTTTTCAACCTCGCTGTTAACACAGTGTTCGTCTGAACTTGAGGACAAGATCACAATTTTATGACCAGTTAATGCAAACACCAGGAAATGCTAAAAGGTTCACATATCTTTTCTTGCCATTCACTCCATGTGGTTGAGAAATATCGTAGCATTCCTTAATAATATATTAACTTCCAGACTTTATGATCAACATAGATTTTTGAATTTTTGTGCTAACATTAAAAAATAAATTGCTGTGTAAAGATACATATAGTAATCCTGTGATGTCCTAGTTTGCCTTTAGATGTAAAGCCCTGTAATCTGTGTCCCCCACTTTAAAAGATACCAATCTTTTGGTTTCCTCAGCAAAAGAGTACTGTAAGGTCACGTTTGCATTCGAGGCCACCAATGAGGACGAGCTGACCCTGAAGGAAGGTGATCTCATCCATGTGCTGACCAAGGTGGGGTACCAAGTACTTTATGCAGTGAGGCTGTGTCATGTGACAAAAAAAGAAAAACTGGGCTTATTTGAGAATCAGTGAAACAGAATGACTTCCTGACATGTAAACCAGAGCAACACAAGGCAGCACTGACTCATGTCACCAAAACAAACCTGCTATATTGGTTGTTTTATGTCATCCTGCATAGCTGCAGAGTTGATTGTCAAGGTTGATGACGAGCCTAGCCAACCTGAACCTGGCCGCTCCTCACCTGTCTGTGAGTGCCTGAGGTCACACTGCAAAGTGGCTTTGCTTCTTGATTAAATAATCACCATGTTACTAAGAAGAAATGCTGCCAAATTCCTCGTGACCTATCCAGCAAACTCAGTTCTGAATACATTTTAGGTGAGTTCATGGCCCTGGAGTTACAGAAATATTCCTAATTTTATACCAACAGCACTGAAGATAGATTTGGAGCTGTCAACCAAAGTCAACAAATCTACGTGTCCCTCTACAAAACACAGCGAGGAAACAAATAGTTCTTATTGCTTGGAAAATTAAAGACACCAGCCATGCATTGACACCATTTTTTTTTTTTTTTTTCACAAAGGGCTGATTTTATTTAGAACTTCAGACAACCTAAAATCCAAAAATGACATTTACGCAGTAATTCAAGATCGATGTTTTAACCTACACATCCACACTCTGGTTCAATCATGTCACCTGCAAATTCAATACATCCTTCAGATTAAACCAGTACTCCGTAGAAACATTGTTGAGCAGCTTATCCACACACATTTTCTCCCACCTGGACTGTTTCATCTTACTGCCTCAGCAACGCGACAGTCAGCCATTTACAGTTGATTTAAAACTCAGCAACAAGATTACTCACAAACACTCCAACCAGAGAACACACAACTCTCTGAATTGCACTGGCTCCCCACTCGTTACAGAATTTAGATTCTGTTGATTACTTTTAAATCAGTCAGTCATTAGCTCAAGACTGTCTATACAGGCATGACAGGTATGACAGTTTATACTGATGCTCTGTTATTGCTCTTTTTGACATACTGCACATATCTTTACTGATGTTTTTGTCTTCTTTTGATACTTTATTGTTACTTTCTGATGCTTTCACGTGTTTATTTAGCTGTTTTGTGAGCCCCCTTGTAACTCTAGCTTTGAACGATGCTCTAGACATAAAGGTTAATATCACCTACAGAACATTATTATGAGGTGATGCATGTTATTCCCTTCGCCTGTCAGTGACTTTAATGTTGTGGATGATCAGTGGAGGCTGATAGAAAGCTGCACTTTCTTTCTGCACAAATGATATCAGTATCTGTAAATGTGGTTTCGTTGTGATGGGACGTCATTGTTTCCCGCAGAGTTGGAGCTGAGAGAATCCTTCCTGTATTGCAGGTCACAGATGATATTTTGGCTCAACTCCAACAGCTCATTTTAAAGCGCAGGTTAATAGCTGTGTTCATAAGAAGGAGCACAAGCTTGAAATGTGAGTCTACGCTGACAAATTTAAGGAAAACCTGTGTTGCAACAGCATTTCTAGAGCTGCTCTGTGACAAGTGATGGATGTTTTAGTCTCTGAACTTTTTTTTTTGCATAATTGCGCATCTTTTAAAGTTACTCATGTCGGGGGTTAGGCATCTTTCTACTATGCCTGCAAGTGCTTTGAAAGTGCTTCTTTAGTCATTTAAGTTGACTAATTTAATACAGAAAACTGGTCCAGAGGCTCCTATTCAGGAGTAAACCAGTACAGGCGAATAGCCAGCACAT